CTATGAAAGCTTTCTTCTACTCAGGGAAGTTGTGTAGGATTTTCAATAGAACATTTATAGCCCTTGTTCCAAAAAGAAAACCCATAAACTGTGGACAATTATAGGTCCATAAGTCTTTGCAAAGTCATATATAAAATCATTTCCAAGATTCTTGCCAACAAAAATAAATCTCTATTGGACAACATGATCTTTCCATTTCAAAGTGCATTTGTTCCTAATAGGCAAATCAATGATATTATTTTGACTGCCCATGAAATGATCCATTCCATGGGAAAAAGAAGGGTAAGAGGGAAATGATGGCTTGTAAAATTGATATGGAAAAGGCCTATGATAGATTGGAATGGGATTTCATTGAGAATGTGTTAAAAATATATGGTTTCCATAAGAGATGGGTTGGATGGGTCATAGAGTGTATTAGATCTATATCATATAAGATTCTTATCAATGGAAAGCCTTCTGATGAAATTGTTCCATCGAGAGGCATAAGGCAAGGTGACCCCCTCTCTTCGTACATATTTGTTCTATGTGCTAAGGCCCTTGCCAAAAGACTTGAACAAGAATCTAATGAGTTGGGAAGCCCTATTGGAGTCAAAATTTCTAAGGATGGGCACAAGATTCCTATTTTACAGTTTGTTGATAATTGTTTTATATTTACTAAAGCCACTATTCTAGCTGGCCTTAAAATTAAAGAAATTCTTGATGAATATGCAACTGCTTCCGGTCAATGCCCTAACTTTGCTAAATCTACAATCATGTTTTCCAAAAATATGCCTGTAAGATGTAGAAGAATTCTTGCTAAAATTTTAAAAAGTCCAATTGAGGTTAACCCTTAATCTTATTTAGGGGCTTCCATAATTAATGGTAGAGTTTCAAGAGATATCTTTAAGGACCTAAGAGAAAAAGTTATTGGTAAATTGGCTAGTTGGAAGAACACTCTTTATATGGTGGGTAGAACTACCTTGATTAATTCTATGGCAAATATGGTCCCTCATTACATTATGAGGTCTTTTAAAGTTCCCAAAAATGTGATAGATGACCTAGATAAATGTCAAAGAAATTTCTTATGGACCAACTCAGAGGATAGAAAACCAATTCACCTCTTGAGCTGGGAAAGGGTTTGTACCCCTAAGAGTCAAGGTGGTATGGGTCTTAAAAACCTGCTATGGGTAAATGAAACTAATTTAGATAAATTGGGATGGAAATTTCTCATTGAAAAAGGGTAACTTGTGGGTTAAAGTTGTTAAAAATAAGTACATCAAGCAACAAAAAAAAAATTGGGACTTAAAAATTAAAAAAGGGGATTCATGGGGTTGGATAGGAATCTTAAGTCTAGGGACCTCCTAAACAAGGGTATTGGATGGGAGATTAGTGATGGTAAATTAGTGAGCTTTTGGAATGATAAATGGGTGGGGGATGGGGAGGTATTTGAAATGATCCCTCAAGCTACCATTGAAAATGAGAGGCTGATGGTCTATTATGTGCTTGACCAAGATAGAAAGATTTGGAATAAGGAGAAAATCTGTAGTCTTGTTCCAAAAGACATTTGGTTAAAGATTAAGGCTACTTTCATCCCTTCTAGTCTTAGGGATGATCGCATGATTTGGTGGTATAATAGTAATGGAAAGTTCTCCACCAAATCTACTTACCATCTCAAGTGTAAGCATGTGGTGAATCTGGTGAGTGGATTGAATTGGAATTAATAATAATGTTGGGAATCTTAAATGCCCACTAGAATTACAGTTTTTTTTCCTATACCTTTTTTTAAATTATAGGTTCCCCTTGGAATATCTTCTTAGGAATAGAGGTGTCAATGTTGATGGTGATTGTAAGTTTTATAGGGAAGAAGAAAATGTTAATCACATAATTAGAAGATGTGATTGTGCTAGACAAGTTTGGTTGATGGTAAATCCATCTATTCAAGGTTTAGATGATTAAGAGAAATCATTTAGGGATTGGTGGTTAGAAATTTAAGGGAACCAATTGTGTGAATAAGGGTGTTTAAGAGAGAAATATGTTTTCTTGTTGTGGCATCTTTGGAAAAGAATGAACCTAAGAGTATTTGAGGACATTTCAATCCCCATATCTAAAGTTGTAAAAAATGCCTTTTTCTCTTTTGTTGAATACCAGGAAAGTTTTTCTAAATCCAAAATTCAGCAAGGCTCTAACTGCTATAAGTTGGTTAGGTGGAACCCTCCCCTCAGATTGAAACAATTAAGATTTGATGCATCCTGTGGAAATGGGGGCTTGTGCACCATAGCTACTCTAGCTAGAAACCATCTTGGTGAGGTGTTGGATTGCAAAGCCTATAAACTGGGTATTACATCCATTAATAAGGCTAAGGCTCAAGGATTTCCCTCTAGTTATTGAAAGTGATTCCAAGCTCGTAATCTCCTGCCTTAACCGTGTGACAACGGCCCCATGGAACCTTAGGAGGATCATTCTCGACTGTTGGGAGCTGAATGAGAAATGCGAGGAAGGTATCACCTACAGACATGTCTACTACGAAGTGAATCAAGCTGTTGTAATTGATCGGCTCATAGAGCCCATGAAGCTCAAATGTCTGACCTAGATTTTGTTTCAATTAATCACTGTAAGCTTCCTTTGCCTTTTGCTTTCATTTGTTCTAGTGATGTGGAACATGCTACCCCCATCTTGTGTATCCCCATCTGGTTTTATAAAAAAAACTAGATACACGAGGATAAACATTTTCATTGGTAGTGTTGTGCATCCAGAAAAGCTTTCTCTTATTTTCTACTTCTAACAACCGTTTTATTCTTCCACATAGAAATATGGTAAAATCAAAATACCACCAAGTTTTGGCTCTGATGTTTGATCTTGTGGGCTCTACAGTTGGGCTTGAAAGTCTTGAATGGGCCCAATGCTATTGCTAACGCATGGTTAGTTGGTTAAACATATTACCACCCCAGTGTGCCAGTGGATCGACCACATCCCATGTTAGCTAATGGCTAGAATCACGTCTATCAGAGACAAAAGTAGCATGGCCAAAAAAAATTCTTGTTTCCATTGTTTTTCTACAAGTAGCCACAACAATCATGTCTATCAGAGACAAAAGTAGCACGATCAATGTTGGTTGAGCCATTTGGGAACTATAGAAAAATAGCTATAAGATCTCATTTTAGAACCCATTGTTTAAAAAAAAATTATTTTAAGCTAATTTTAGAGCCACTGTTTAGAAAAATGGCAATAAGATCACATTTTGCAATATGTATAACTAATGGGTTTGGAACATTCAAGCCAGATGATCATATTGTTGAAGTTGAACCATAAAAAAAAAACAATCATCTACTTGTTTTTAGAGTATATTGTGTAACTAATGGCAATAAGATCTCAGTTGCTACCTGGATCGATTTTTAGAGCATTACCATAACAAAAAACAATGAGGCAGTCATATACTTGTTTTCAAATCATGGGGGATAGAATGTCAGTAACAACAATTGAGGTCGATTCTAACAACTGAGAAAATCCAACATATCGACGGTAGATAGCTGCGTTAGAGGAGAGATGCGGAGGAGGAGAGCTTCGGCGGTGGAAAGCTCTGTTGGAGGAGAGCCTCGGGGGAGGAGAGAGGCAGAGATCTTCAGCTGCCGGTGAAGACCTTCAATAGTAAACTGATAAGCAGAGTAGGGTTTTGGGTTTTGGGGGAGTGTGTGAGGCATGGGATCAAACTTAAACCGTGGACCAAAACAAATTGCATGAATATGCTGTGGCTGAGAAATTGGGGTGCAAACAGGGCCAGTCCATGATATAGTATGGACTAGTCCTGTCCACGACCAGTTGAACATCGTGTTTCATCCCGTGGTGTGGACTGAAATGGTCCATCCACGAGATGAACACGGTGCTGAACACCGCCTTTGTCTTTGATAAACAAGAATTTTGGACATAGAATGGATGCATGGGTTGAATGAGTAGTCTTACTTAAGTTTTATTTAAAAATTAATGAATAAAACAATAATAACAAGAGGAAGAAGAACCATTACTTAATTGGAAGCCATGATATTGGATGCTTAAACATGCTTGGCTTATTGCCATGTTGAGATAACACAATGATATAGGTCGAGTAGGGGAAACCTCTTTCTATCCAGCAATGGTGGACTAGAAGTATGGGTAAAGAAGATTTCAGATGTGAGAAAGGGTTAAGTCCTGGACTAGCTGTAGATTTGAATATGGATTTCATATCTGATCACTTGCAAGTAAAATTCAAGAAAAATTACAAGGCAACAACCATTAGGAGAGAACGAGGGTTTGTGGATTAAAGAAGCAGCAGGCTGCCTCCCTATCTGATCTCTTGCACTAGTGCAGCAGCCAATAGGGATCTTCACTCTGCAGTAAAATTCTAGTCTAAACTTAAACCTTTTCTCAATATATTTATCATATAAAGTGCAAAAATTAAATATTTATAATTAATTGTGTAGGTCATTCATAAAATGTATATGAAATACATGAATTCAAAAAGTGTGGTGTGGAATGGTCTACACTACGCCTACAAAACGCCACTGTAGATATAGACTGATCCAATCTACAGTCTAAAGAGTCTGTCCACAATTCAGAATAACTATAAACTATGATATAGTGTAAATTAATCCTTACCACAATGCACACCCATCAATTTCTCACCTAAAGTGACTCATAAATATCCAAAACCAACAAATATCTACATGATTCGGTTGCATTCCTTGCATAAAAAAATATCTTACATCAAAGTCGGGTCGAGAATGGAGTGGGAGATAAATCCAAGAAAGCCACTTTCATTTTATGGGCTTGGGCTTCGACTCCGGGACTGTTGGGGTGAGGGAGCCGGTCATTGGGCCAAATGTAAATTGCATTTTGTTTCAAATCAAGATGCTCAACCCAACACCGTCGGATTGAATTTGTGAATTCATCGTATAGATGCTAATCGGAAGGTTGAAAACGCGTGCTTTTAGAAAAGCACATAACCGCAGTAGCATTATCGTTAAACATCATGAGTTCATGATATATCTGTATTTCAATTTGTTTGTTTAGTCACTACTAGATAGAAGCCTGTCGATTCGATCCTGACTTTAAGTAACTGTCTCTCATGGATGATAGTTGTTCTCTGCGTGTTTGATGAAATGGAAGACGGTGAAGAGAATACCCAAGTTCTGAAGGACTGGGAACAGGTCCAGCACTTACCTCTCCATTCTTCTTCTTCTTCTTTGAACCAAGCCCGGATTGTCTCCGAAGCCGGAGCGGAAGCGCAGACCCATTCCATGGGATGGGAAATGGTGGTGCTTAGACAGACTCTATACGGCGATGATTGCACCGTCTTTCCTCCAAGAAAACACGAAGGTTTATTACCCGACGATCAGCGCCAAGAAGAAGAAGAATTGGAATCAGAACCGCCATCGCCACCGTCTGGTGCTGATGTAGAGGACCTTACACATCCGCGCCAGCCGTCCGATTCCCGACTCCGAGTTGTGGAACACATTGTGAAGTGCTTGAATTTGGGGTTTGAGCTCTTCTATTACAAAGTTTTCAGCATCGTTTCTTCGGTCCGCACTTCTTGTAGTGCCGGTAGTCGGGCAATTTGGTCATTTGCTTCGTCGACTGGAGCCGCTGCGACCCTGATGCTGTCGTTGTTTTTCTTACGGGTGCACCAGCGGCGTCGAAGGTTACGGCAGGAGAGGAAGGATCATATCATTCTTCTCCTAAAACAGCAGGATGAGGTACGTGTGAAATGTTCCCTTGTGGTCGCCGCTTAGCCTGTTGTGCTTTTCATGGAGATTTTATTACTGAATATTACTTCTTTGGACTCGTTTGGTATTTCCAACATTTCAAATCCATGTCATATACTGGACACCGGCCTTCTTGTATACTGGCTACTATACTACTGATTTGATTCTTCCATATGTTTGTGGAAATGCCAATCAGAGACAATGCCCAATAACCTGGCTTAAATTTCCAACTATAGAAACCAGTTTGTATTTGCCTTTCGGGAACCACCAAAACTTGATGCAACGCGGTGAAACTAGTGAGAATAAATTATGTTTGCTAAAGTGCAGAAAACAGAGAGACCATTCAGGCAGAGTAAAGCCAGAAAAATTGAATTCTCCACCATTAATCTGGTTTGGCCACTAGAGTGTTGGTTTCTCTTAGTAAAAATGCACGGTGGCGTTATGTTAGATCAAGGGGATTAATTCAGCTGTGTTTGTGACGTATACTGCTATTTCTTTTACATAGCTTCCTATTTACCAAGGAAAAAGAAACGAAAGAAACTGTTTACCATTCTGTTTTTCACCCTTTTCTTCCAAGTGGGCAAGTGGATGCTTTATATATAAGCTGGTATTGTCTATTACCAACAAAGCAAACCGGCCAGGTCTTTTAGGCTGTGTTTGGTTTGAAGGAAAAAGTAGGGAAACCTTTACAAACCTTGTATTAGGTTTCCCTTACTTTCCTACCTTTTCCTTCATACCAAACATAGCCTTACTTTAAAATTTTTGGGTATCGACCATCAGGGTAAGTTTGGTTTTAAATGGTCTGATCTTCTAGTTCCGGAGCACTTGAATAGTTGTTTTGTTGGAGTAGGTTAACCTAAGTCTCAATCTTCCATGGGTGGGACAGTGAAAGTCTCTTTTCTCTCCTGCTTTTGATGTTAAGCAAGCAGAGGAGGGTTTCTAAGCTCATACTGTTGACTGTAAACTGACATGTAATAAAGGTCCCAGAAGGAGTAAAGGGGATGCTATAAAGGTGTGCAACTTTGAGCTGACAGAATGAATTGAGATCTTTCACCATGCGCTTAATGCTTAAGCTGTAAATTATCTTAGTAGTTGAATTTTCTGCTTGGGTTCTGATAGTTACATTCTTCTACTGGTATTGAAGTTTAATTTGCTTCGTTGCAGAAGCTGAGCCAGCTCTTGTATCAAATTGCCCAGATAAATGAAGCATTATCAGCCCGTCGCAGGGTTCCAGTGCATAGAATTGGTTGATGGATCCTACAGAGTACTCCAGTTGGAGGACATTTTAATTGCTTACTCTCTGCTGGAGTCTGGAGCTTTACTTTCAACAATAGCTTATTTATTGACAGTAAAAATTAAAAAAAAAAGTTGTATAAAGTTACTATGATATAGGGTTCAGAAGAAATTTGTGACTGTTTTTCTTATTCCTCTAGTATAAAGTTATTATGCTTTCAACGATCACTTAGTTGATTGGTACAACCTATCTATGTAACCATATGCATTACCAAGTTTTGGGTCGGATTGCTGGCTGGTCACAAAAGGAAAATGCCCAAAGGGATTAATCGTTAATGCCTGGGCCAGATCTTGTTCGGGCCCCACTGTTGGGTTTGGTGAAATTAATCCAAGATCTTGGCCATCAAAGTGGCCTATTAGGATCGATGCATTAATCTCAACCATCCAAGTGATATATCAAAATTAAACCGATTTAGGACATCTGAAAATGGAGTGCAATTCGGGTTAACATTTTACACTATTTCCGTATTTCGGGCTTGGGCTTCAATCCAGGCCCATTCAAAATTTGGCAAAAGCCCAGCCCAACCCGAGTTCGCTCATATCTATATTTTACGAAGTAAGGTATCAAAACTTAGAGTTACCGTCCATTTGAGTAATGCAATAAAAATTCTGAAAAACATTTCTTTTTGAAGAGAAAAAAGTTGTGGAAATATTTAAAACCAAGTAAAATGACGTACCAGATAAGCCTAACATCTATTCTATGCCATCAAAATGGCCTCAGCTCAGTCAATTAATTTCAGCCAGTTTCATGGGTTCAATCACTTGCCATCATTGGTTTTCACTATTTTCCAATACTTCCCCCATTTAAGCGCTGCTTATCAACCCATGAGAAGTATTAAAACTTACAGTGATAGTAATAGACTGACATTAACCTACTTCTTTATGAAATTATTAGTTATGACAAATTTTCTTGAAGGGGACAAAAATCTGCGATGCACGGAGGTTAGGGGACATGCGAGCGGGGAGGGATAAGATTGCTGTGTGCCTGTGTCAGATCAAGGCCCTTGACGGGTTTGGTCATTCAGTCATTGGTAGCTCTCAACTCTGATGCAGAGTGGGGTGGGGTAGGGCCACCAAAAGTAGATTCTCCAGTTGAAGGAAGAAGGAAAAACTCGTGATCATAACAATTCATTGGTCCTTTCCTATATAAAGAAAACAAGAATAAGTCTTTATTGAGTTGTTCATGGTACCGGAAAAGCTTTGACCACTGTCAATTTTGATTATTGGTCGCCCGTTTTATAATCCCAATTAATTGGTTGGTGGTAAATTTTTCCTGTATCAGGTATATATATTAAAAAGATATATTTAACCAATATGCATTGATCTTTCTAAATTTACAGTATTCTTCTTTTTTTTTTTTCACAAATAAAATCTGGGTGTCCAGAAATATGCATAAGTTTGTTTTTTTAATTAACAAAATAAACTATTTCTGCAAAATCATAGTGGTGAGCAGCTGGTTATCTGATAACTCGTACCTTAATCCAATCAATATGCGGTAATATCTGATTAACGTCTAAAAAGATTGAAGAAGAATTTCTGATCATAGTAGGGGGGGATGTGTAACATACCAACAGTTTGTAGTATCATCGTTTGATGGTTGTCGTGCCGTCGTTCCTCAGGCACAGCTGGTAAGCATTTCTGATTAAGTGAAACAGGTGATGTCAAACTAGATTTTTGTTTTACACAAATCATTGATGCGACAACTTCATACAACATGGAGTGTAAGTTTGTTGGTGAAAGTCTCTGGACTCTGGCTGGTTATAGCGGAGACCCAGGATGTGGATGTTTTCTTTGGTTAAAGGTGCCAATTGGGCTTAAATGATGAAATAGCAGAACTTCCAATTCGGATTTGCTCCTTAAACTCTCACAGAATGTGTCTCACACCGATCTCACGGCACCTTGCAGTTATACATTAGGAATATCTCCCATACTGTGAGGATATGTTTAAGGATGCAAATGGATCGGATCGGATTCTAATCAAGGTCGAATCTGATCTGACACTATTCATTTTAGTTTTGATTCGGTTGGATTTGATAGATCTTGATTTAAATTTAAATCCTATCGGTAAGTAAGCTTTTTGGATCTAATCCGATCTGATATGTTATTTTAAAAATTAATAAATTATTAAAAGAGAAATAAAATATACCAATTTAAATAAAGAAAAAACAAAAAATATAAATATTTTTTATTATTTTCATCATATATACATGTTTTTTTTAAAAGATAAATAATATATATGTATTTATATATATTTATATTTATAAATATATAACATATATTGGATTGGATCTTCTCGAATCGGATGAGGAGGGGAGATCCAAATTTGATCCGATTTATGATTGGATCCTATTATCCGATCCGAACAGGAGTGATCCAAATTCGACCAAATAGGATTGGATCATGCCCTGATCCATTTGCACCTCTACATATGTTCCCACTTGCTGAGATTCAATTCCATCTTCACCCCTCCCTAGCTCCCTGTCTAAATCAAGTTTGATTAGGCTGTGTTTGGTCTGATAGAAAATAATTTGGCAGCTGTTTTTATTAGTGTTTTTAAAATGGATACTGGATGGTCAGACCAGAAAAATCAGGAATCAATCACTTAATCGGTTCCGTTTCACCCTAAAATCATCTTTTGGCCAAAAACCGTTGATTTAGTAAGCGAATTGCTGACCTGAACGGTCAAACTGTTGACCCAGACAACAATTTTGATCGTTTTTTATTATTTTGTCAGAGCAAACTGTCTGTTTGATCCAGGAACCGGACCTCAAAATGATTCCCTGTTCGGTCTGATTTTAAAAACCTTGATTTTTATTTTAGCAATAACAAAAACCATTTACATTAACGAACACCCTTTTATAAGTTTTATAATTTAAACCATGGATTTCTCCTCAATTTTCCGCTTATCTTGTTTTCCACCAAACCAAGCACAGCCTCAGCGAAAAGTATATTAAAAAAAGAGCCTTCTTAGGTTGTTCCCTCACAAAAAGCCTTACATTTCATCTCAGTTTGAATTTTGTGATTCTAGAACATCCGGAAGAAATGGTGCAATTGGGTTTCCTATTCTTCGCTCGGCAGTAGCTCAGGGAAAAATGAACCCATAACCAAATGCATCATCTAGAGACATGTATTACTACCGTAGAAGGATAACTTAGCTAAATGCACTTCCAATATAATCAACAAACTACTCTTTATTCTTACCATATGTATACTCGACTCTAATTAAACTCCTCGTAGTCGTAGGTATTGAGATGTTATTTCCAAGTATTAATTCAACCCCAATTATATATGTCAACATATTTTAAAGACACAAGTTGGACAAATTTAGGGGTGTTCAAGAACATGGTTGGTTTTGTTTTTCAAAACAAAAACAACTGTCACATGAGCAAACAGTTGTTTTTGTTCTGAAAAAACAAAATCATAATGTTGAATTTGGAAACACCCCATTAGGCTCACATCACATGTGCCTTGCTTGAATTCAGATGCACATGCACCTCGTCTGGCTTATTATCATGTTTCAGCGAATTATATTTGAATGTTGATGTTGGATGTGTAATTTATTGTAGGTTATATCTAAGGTTGTGTTTGATACAATTGTTGTTTCTACCTGAATTGTTTTTGGTTAATCAATACACTGTTGTTATTTGAGTTAATGAAGGCATAGCTTAAAAATGCATGTGTAGGAAGAAGCTGTTTGTAGAAAATGTCATTTTGATCTTGATCTAGGGTCGGGCGGGTTCAGCAGCCTTGTCTATGGCCTATGGGACTTTCGCTTGAAATGGAAGATTAGAAGCGTTGAGCTATTTAACACACCATTCTTACCAATTAAGTAATCAAGTTTTTGAAATGTTTTAATTTTCAAAGTTACCTCTATAAAATTTCTGTTTTTTTTTTTTATCTCACCTTTGGAATTTAAGAACCCCTGTGCTTCAGTTTCTCTTTATAGCCCTAAAACACTGATTACGGGGAGGGGGGTGCAAACAAGCCGGATTATGTTCTGATCCGAATTTAGATTCGATCCAATGTATCGGATTTTTTTTGGGTCGTATCAGATCACAATACATTTAGATGGTTAAAGTTCCACTTGCAGAAAAGTGTAATGCAAGAACTATCAAGGATATGATTTTTCCTGTGGTTAATAGCTCTTATTATTGATGGAAAAAAATCTAAGCATATTGGATTTAGCTTGCAATACAAGTCATGCTCTTAACCTTTTTTTCAATCATTATTATCCCAAATAATGTTTGTTGTGTGTATAGAAGACCATCAATAACACTGAAAAGTGTGTTCTGTTGCAAGTAAAAGGGTTAGGGTAGAGCAAAATAAGAAATGATTTAAGTATTAAAGGTAGTTAGTTATTAGAGAACGGAACGGTGAAGCAGCATTCGTGTAAACGGCCCATATATAATTGGGATAAAGGATTTGATGATGATGATAAAGGGTGGTGCTGTTCATCCGAGAAGACATGAATAGTGATGAAGCGCGATTTGGCCTGATCTAGCAACAGGGGGACACGTGGATGCAGCCTAACTAGTAAGATGACAGTTCAGCCTGATATGCCGAGTCCGCAACAGATCGAGCTCGGATAATCAAACCACCTTGGGACGAGTTCATCTCGGTATAAGGTCGGATCAAGACTACTTCGATCCCAAGGCACTTCGGCGTTCGCCCCAAGCCGGATCTAAAGAGCGGTAGCTTGGGTAATGTTAACCGACCACTACGTGGCAACCCCGAAGATCTTGCCATCAGATTCCGGGCCTCGCGGGATCACGCCACGTAATAGCTAGCGTTATCTCCCTCGACCGATTCGGGCGGACTCGATAAGCCCCATCAATTATCCCCATTATCGCGAAAACGGATCTCATCGTGTCGAGGACCCCGAAACCACTCCGCGAAACCCGCAAGGACTCCACTATATAAAGGCTTCACCCCCGGGGGTGCAGGGTATGCGTGATTTCCTGCTCTCAAGCTCTCTCATTTTCAAGCAATTTTAGCTCGCTACTAGCCTACTGACTTAAGCATCGGAGCGACCTCGCCAGGTTAGCATCCCGGGGTTCTCTGATATCCTTGCAGGTTCAGTTTGCCATCCATCTGGAAGCCAAGTCACCTCCAGCTAGGAGCAGCCAGATCGCGCTCAATCAATTGGTGCTGTCTCTGGGAAGCGCTAC